TGTTTTCTTTTTTTAACTTTACTCATTCTCCCATGGCTGACCTGCTTCAGGCATGTTGCCTCTGTTCATGCCAGTGTAATAGTGTAGAGAGTTAGTGTCCTAGTTTGTTTCTTCATTGCTGTGACAAAACACTCTGACCACTACCAACTTGGGGAGGAAAGGGTTTATTCAGCTTACATCTCCCAGGGAGCCCAAGGTAGGAACTCAGGGCAGGAACCTGGAAGCAAGAACTGGAACACAGGCCATAGAGGAATGCTGCTTACTGGCTTGCTTCCTTGGCCCCTGCTCAGCCTGCTTTCCTTATGCAACACAGGCCCACCTGCCCAGGGACAGCACCACCCACAGTGGGTTGGGCCCTCCCACATCACTCATCAGGAAGATGCCCTTCAGACATGGCCACAGGCCAGTCCAATAGAGGCAATTCCCCGATTGAGGCGCCCTTAACCCAGGTGTGTCAAGTTGACACTAAAGCTATCCAGCACATTTAGCAACATGAAATCATGCTTCTGCACCTTAAGTATATGCAAAGTGCAGCATAACAGAATTTCAAGAAACCCAAAGAAAGCTGAATATGGAGAAACTTAATGTTACAGTGAATTGACTGGAACTTTAGTGCCTAGCTCTTCTTCCTCTAAATAGGCTGTTCCTGTTTCCCATGCCTTATATTTACATTTCAGTCTTAACAATATGAGAGGCGTGGTCCCATATAATCTTGTTGCACTAAGAAATGTAAGAAAAACCCATCCTGTTGTAGTTCTATATTGCTGTTAGCTTACAATATTCATTAATAAGATTGCATCTCCCCATTCCCTTTTCCAACCTCCCTCAGTTATTTATTTATATAATTTAGTTAGTTTTTTATGTATATGAGTGATTTACCTGCATGTATGTATGTGTGTCCGTGCCATGCAATTCCTATGGAGGCCAGAAGCAGGCATCAAATCCCCTGGAATTGGAATTACAGGCAGTTGTTAACTACCATGTGGGTGCTGGAAACCAAACCTGGGTCCTCCACAAAAGCAGCCAGTGCTCTTATCTGCTGTGTCATCTCTCTAGCCACCCTCTCCCCTCAGTTATTTTGCTAGTATCATAAAAACCCAAAATGTTTAGAAAGTAATATATTGACATCATTGTACATGGCCCCATTTTTGGCCTTTTACATTCATTTTTAAAAACAAGCCTGACAGGTAGTAAATTTCCTCAGGTTTCAAATGAGTGGCCTGTCCTCAGATGTCACAGTCAACAGAATCTTCAGATTCCTATTGACAAGTTAGTCAACTATTGCCTAACTACTCTACCTTTTTTCAGTAATCACCACATAGAGAGGAAGTATAGAATTGGTTTATGAGTGGTATTTAGAATGGTGACTGACATAAAAGTAAGCATTCAAAAAGTAATACAGTTACTTCACTAATTCTATAATATTGTTACTATAAATCTTTATGGAAATGACTTTGAGTATGGTCTGGATATTAACAATAAAATTTTAGCAAAATTCTGTAGATAACCCATCAACAGATAATTTAACCTCTTGTATTAAAATGGAAGTTTAGTTTGGGGCTTAGTGCAAGTTATAGATTGGCTTGTCATGGGATATAGATTTGGGATATATGTTTTCAGACATTATCAAAATGCATGCCACTTTTACCTCTCTGCTGGCTCTATATTGGATAACTCATCTTCCAGTCAGGTCATGATTCCTGATCTGAATAATTATGTTTCATGAATTTTATTTTAGTAAATTATGCATAACCTATAATATAGCATACTATAATTCTATTTTAAAATTTCCAGGGGTGTCCAACCTTTGACATTGTGACATGATGTTGTCATCTGCAAATATGGTGGACTTCATTCATAGTATCCTGGTACACATGATGGCCCATGGGCCTCGCTGGGCATGCATGGTTAGGCCATAAATCCTGACCCAAAGCTGATCTACTTTATTCTAATTTTGCTACATTCAGTGCATTTTTCGTAGTCAGTTATTTTAACACATTTTTCTTTAAGGAATGTCTTGTTCTTTTTTGTGGAGAAGAAGAAAACAGTGTCCATACCTCTAATGAAAACTTGTCAGACACTTTTCAAGAGCCAGAACACGTTATAGAGCAGACATGGTGTCGTGTACTAGATGATAACTTGGTTGTTGGAGTGAAAGTCACATTTTTGAAACCGTAAGTAAATTTTAATATGGCAATGTTACATTCATGCTGTAGACCAGTATTGTCTACCACAAATTATTGCAAGCAACGTGTAATTTTAAATGCTCTGGTAGCCTGTGTTAAAAAATTAAACAAAAGCAAGTGAAATTAATTTTAATATTTTGTTGAATGTCTTCAATCGAAAGTATCATTTCCATATACAGCCAATGTAAAAATTATTGAGATATTTAATTTTCTCCTAGTGAGCTTTTGAAAGTTGACTTTCTCTGACACATTGCAGTTCATAGTCATTACGTTTCTTCAGGTTAATAGCTCTGGGTGTCTTAGTCATCACTGCTCTGCAAGTATGCCTCTTATACAGATGCATTGTGTTTATAGGAAGAGAGTGACATTTAGGAAATTAAGGTGCTGTTCTCAGGGTGGATGTAATTAAACAGCACATGGAGCTTTTTATCAAACATTGGGAGGACTTAGGAACATTCAGAGACTATTAACTCACATGGATTGGAGGTTTAGTTAGGTAAGAAAGTCTCTGCTAATAGGGGATTTTTCCCCTTTGAGCTATTGAAATCATAGATAAGGGAGTAATGGCTATGTTGTCTGCAGCCTAGCAAAGCCTTTTTCCATAAAATAGTCTTTTGTTCTTTTGCTTCAGTCCATTTCTTTTTTTTTTCCTGAGGTGGAATCTCACTCTGTGGCCTAGGTTGGTCTAGAGCTCTCTGTTTATCCCAGCTTGGCTTCGACCTAGTGATCTTCCTGTCTCAGCCATCCCAGTTGCAGGAAGACAACTGTGCATTGCCATGCCCTGTTGCCTATATCATTTTGGTGCATTGATAATAGATTTGGTTTGCTAATGTTTGGTCAAGAATATTTGTAATTGTGTTTATGAGTGAAATAGGCTTGAAATCTTCATGAATAATACTTTCTTGGTTTTAGTACCAAGGCTGTAGTAGGTTGTTCAGCCATTTATGTGTGTTGAGTCTTGCTGTGTTAGTGCTGGGGCTGGCCTAGAATTCCTGGCCTCAAGTCATCTTCTTACCTCAGCCTTGCAAATAGCTGACACTATGTTTATTTTCCCATTCTCTAGCAGATTGTATAAAAATCAGAATTATCTGTGCTTTGACATTTGGTTGTACTGGTCTAGAAAATCATAGATACGTGCCATTCTCTTATGAAATGACTTTTAAATGATGGGTCAGTTGCTCTAAGACTTGTGAATAATTCAGATTTTATTCTTAAATGGCCTTTGCTTATATTTTCTAGTAATTCATTTTATATTAATGGTGTTCTTTAAATCTTATATTTATTATTTTTATGTGTATGAGTGTATTGCCTACATGTATGTAAGTACACCCATGTCGTGCAGTGCCCTCAGAGACCAGAAGAAGGCGTTGGATCCTCTGGAACTGTAGTCACAAATGGTTGTTAGCCACCTTGTGGGTACTTGGACCTGGACCTCACTCTTCTGTAAGAGCAGCCAATGCTGTTAACAGCTGAGCCATCTCTTGGGTCCAGTTTTCTAGCAGTTTCATGCTAGGATACTTACAGATATTTGTAACTATACTGTCAGTTGTTTTTCATTCTAAACCTTGTGTCTCTATAGTTCTTAAACACTTTTGCCAGAATTTTGTTCTTTAGTCTTTTTTAGCAATTTTTAAGGTTTTTGAATTTTCCTATTTTATTAATTTCTAGTCCTTTATTTTCTTATTTCTTTAGACTTATACTGTTATTGTTTTCCTAACTCTTTCATCATAATATGATCAGATGAGGACTTCTTCCATTAGGGTGTTGAAATTCCTGGCTCTGAGAATTGACATTTTAAAGAAATTCTTTATTATTTTCAATTTTATGTATATGAGTATTTTGCCTGCAAGTATGTAAGTGTACGGATGTTGTGCAGTGCCCACAGATGTAAGAAAGGGTGTTGGATCCCCTGCAACTGGAGTTAAAGATGGTTGTTAGCCACCATTGTGGGTGCTTGGAATAGAACCCAGGTCCTCTGCAAGAGCTACCAGTGCTCTGAACCTTTGAGCTATCTCTCCAGCCCGTTTTTCTTTTTCTTTTTTTTTTTTTTTTAACAATGTGAGGAAATGTTAGAAATGCTGTTAGACCTGTTCCTTCTTTGTTCTGTGTTTCTTGACATACCTTTCATACCTTCTGTTCATCTCTTTGGCTTCTAGGTTGTTACTTCTGTTTTGTTCACTAATTTTATCTTCAGTTTTCTATTCAGCTATTTAATCTAGTTGCTGCATTTCTAATTTTTGTTACTTACATTTGTCTCAAGATCAGTTTGCTTCTTTTTAGGTCTGCCTGGTCCTTTCTACATTTTTATTTTCTTAAAATGCTAAACATAATTACTTTTTAAATGTTTTAATTACCATCTATAAAAACGAATCCATCTATCAGCTCTCATCAGTGAAGCTTCCTCATGCAACAGAGGGCCATGAACACAAAGGACACAAATGGCCAAAGTGTAGAGAAAAAGAGACGGTAGAGTGTGGGTCCCTGGCTAGGACTCAAACTTCACCCACCCAGGACTCAGGGACCATTGTGGAAGAGGCACTAGAAAGACTGTAAGAGCCAAGGGTGGGGGTAGACGCATGAACATGAGGAAACAGAGTCTTTCAGGCCCCTAGGACCTTCCTCATATTACAGCACTGGTGACAGCATGCACAAGACCCATGCAAACTCACTCAGACAAAAACCAGCATAGAACTGGGGAAATGGACAGGAGGCCACAACTTTGGCAAAGAACTATTTATTGGCAGCTGATCACTGCTGGGTGAGGGAGAGTTGATCTTTAAGGGAGTGACAGCAGACAGGCTGAACAGGCTCCAGTTGATGAACTCACACTGAAGTACATCTGGGTAGACAAACTTGACTAGATAGGCCTTAACATCTATTTCAAAATGCATGCAATCTTGTGGGTGGGCTATGGTGGAGGCTGCAGATAGGGAAGGGGGGTCTAAATATTGTTAAGATGTATTACATGAAATCCACAAAAATTCAACATAAAACATTTTTAAGAAGTTAATAATTCCCCTGGTACATGTTCACATTTCTCATTTGTCTCAAATTCAAAATAACTCTTAAAATCATGGGCTAAATAATACCTATAAGTTGGCCTTCACTGTGTATGTCTCATAATCTCTATGCAACTTTTTGTGTATGTGTGTTTTCCATTGTAATGTATATTTTGAAGAAACCAAGCATTTTGCCCTATCAATTTCTATGGGCTCTATTTTGCTCATTGTATCCTGTGGTGTTTGTTTAGCATGTTTCACTGTCTCCTGTAGTTCCTTAGTAGAACTGATCTGTGAGGCTGGGTCAGAGTGATGCTTTCAGTTTTTGTTAAGAGAATACTGACTAGATATGGTTTCATCACGAAACATGTAAAAATGCTTTTTTTGTTTATTAGCTAGAATACTTTAGAAAGAAAAACCCCTCATCGGTTACCCTTTGTGTAATATAGTTTGTGATTTAGAAACAAAAACTTGGACATTAAAAGGTGTTTGTTTGTACCTGAGTGGGTGGTTGTTTCTAGGTATTTTTGATGTGCAGAGATAAGAGATACCTGTTTGGTTGGTTGTGAAGTTTTTTGCTTAGGGATAAACTCAGCATAAATGCATGCTGATACCTCCAATTTAGACTAAATATTATCACCCCCAGCCTTGGATCTCAATCTCTCTTCCCTTACTGGAAATCCCAATTATCAGTTGTACAAACAAAATTACTCACTTTATTCATTCCACGGTCTATATGTGATGTTCTCAGAATAAAATATGAGCAGTATAATTATTACAAGTTGCTTCTTTAAAGGTTTTTCTTTCACAAATCTTAGTAAAACTCATTAGGTAATAAAATTCCTCTCTCTGGTTTATATCACCATTCTTACCTGTTTTACTCAATAATGTTGATAGAGTTGGAATATACTGAAAGAAATCTGTTTATAAATTGTTAGAAATGTAAATCAGAGAAAAAGTTCTAAAAGGTAAGCAATATTCTATATTTAAAAGAGATTTTATATCATTTAGGTGAGTATAAGATACAATTTTTACTTTAGAGGTGTTACTGAAACTTAAAATGAATAATTTCTTTCTTTTTAAAAAGGAAGGAAAAAGCCAACCTCTAAAATAAAATGAAGATATTATTTTACCATTTCTAAAATCATTTTCTAAAAGTTCAGCGTATTTCCACTGCTATTTCCGGACCTTTAGAAATTGGTTTGCCTTTGACTCTTAACTCTTGTTAACTGTGGTTTATTTTACATTGAAATGATGTTTCTGAAGGAAAGAGAGAGTAAAGTTTTTGTTTTTTGTATAAACATTTAATTCTTGGATTTTTATTTTCAAATGAGCATGTAAGACTAAAGCAAACATTTTTTCCCAGATTTCCAAATGATATGACTTTATCACTGATGATGGATCAAAGCAGCAGCTCCAGCTTTCAGCTTATTAAGTATCAAAATCAGACGGTTAGTTTGAGCATTGATTCATCCTCAGAAGCATATTTGATGCCAAGTGAAAGAGGACCACAGATAAAAAAGATCAAGTTGACCTCAGATAGCAAGGAGGAGGAAAGCTGCTTTTGTGGACAAGCATCTGAGAGAGAATCTACACACATCATTACTGCTGTCACATCACTTTCACCATTTTTAGCACTGAATAAATTGTGTTGTACTCTGGTGCTGCACAGCAGTGACAGAGATAATGATAAATATGACTGTATTTCATGTGGGAGACTTGTTTATACTGTAGAACATCTTTTTAGTAAGAGCTCTCTACGAACATTCCTGAAGAAGAAATCAACAGGTAATTTGGAGTGTTTTTATTATGTATCTAATTGAATCAGAAGATTTTTGAAAACTGATAGTAGACGTAACTGAATACTAGAATTTGTGGTATGTTTTCTCTCTTAGACAATGTGGAAGACCTTTTGTCACTTCTTGCAATATTACACAAATCCTGTTTTCACATTATGTCACCTCCCCAGACCCCAAACTTAATGAAGATGTGGCTCTTAAAGTACATGGATTGTGAAATAATGAAGGAATTTCCAGAAATACACTTTTATCAAAAGCCACGAAATTGTGGGACACTGTTCTACTGGAAAAAGAGAAAATCACTCTTCTACTGGGAACAGAGAACAGTATTTGAAGGAATTTTAACAGTATATTGCAGGTAATGTGCTTCCAATTCAGATCAGTCCAGAGAAGGTAGTGTGTGTGAGTGGTGTGTATATGGTCCGATAATGATCTTCATGTGGAGTTCTGGGCTAAGGTATGTCAAAACCATTGCGTGAGATAGCATGATTTGAGAGAAAACTAATGTCTCTGCTTTAATTTTTTTGGTTTTGGACCTTTTAGACTCTAGTAATTATTTTTAAGTTTATTTTTACCTCTTTAGTGAAATTTAAGAAAATGTACTGTTCTTATTACTGAATAAAAGCTATACATTTGGGCCAGTAACATAACTGATAGCTAACTTAATCGAAATGGCATACATTTATTTGATTGCTATTGTCACAATTTTATCAATGAAAACATGCATTTTTGTCAATCATGTGTTTTTAAATGAGCATTAATTGATTACAAAAGTATTTTGATGTAACTATTTTGTGGTATCTCAATTTTAGTATGTTTGTTTAATTACAGAAATCAAAGCATTTTGTTCGAGTGCCTTCAGCATCTTATCACACATCTGCCTACGAACTGTTTCTTCAAATATCTGAAATTCGGAAGTAAGGATTTCCTAATTGATCATTTGGCATTTGTTTTGGAGAAGGAACTAGTTACGTTTGGCTCAGTTTCTACTTCTGCCTTGCATAATGTTGGAAGTAGATTTGTGCATGAGTGTAAAACAAATGAAGAAAAGGAAAGTGCCAGGACCGACTCTTCAAACAGAAGCAATAAAATTCATCTGCACAAGAGACAAGTTGAGAGAGAAAGGATAATGATGGACATGAACCTTAGATTGAGCACTAACGTTTATACAGAGATGAATTTGGCATTAGCTGAGATTCAGTTGAAATCAGACCTTATTGCAATGAGCCTGGCCTATCTGTAATTACATTTTTTAAAAAGTTTGTTTTAAAATGTCTCCACTGTCATGAAGTGTTGACTTCACCTGTTATATGCCTGCTTTGTTAATAGAAAGAGAAAAGCTTATCAGAATCAATTAGAATCTTTTACTATAAAAATTAAAACTTCTAATGTATTTTTTTACAGTATTTAGGATCTTGATTTCTTTCTTTTTTTCACACAGTGTAGTCCAGGCTGGTCTTGACGTCATTATGGAGTCCAGGCTGGCCTCAGTTTTCCTGCCTCAACTGAGATAGCAGGCATGCGCCACCACACCCAGCAGAGTCTTTAGTTTTGTTGTTACACAAAATATTTGTAATAGAGCAGTCCTTATGTGGGGTCATTTTGACTCCCTCTGCTTCCTCCTCCTAATGTACAGTGTGTTTGACTGTGTCTGAAGACATTTTTGGATTGTCAGAATTTGTGGGGCTGTATGTTATATAATTTAATAAAACAAACTAATAATTAGGTTAGTGATACTTTGTGCTGGGTGATTGTCTGTTGGGGGGAGAGGGTTGTCCTATGCATAGTAGGAGGTTTAGCCTCATTTCCGTCCTCCTTTCCCCACTAGACACTCATAGTACTCCCTATCTACTCCCTCCAGGGTAGTTGAGGCCAGGATGCCATGAAACCTGCTATGCCCTGGACAGGCCCTCACAACAAAGAATTAAATCCAGTTCAAGATGCCAGTAATTCGGAAGTTGAGAAATCTTTGTATTTTTCACTTAAGACAGATACAACAGTATTTTGCTCTAATTTTTTAAAACTTAATCCTTTTCTTCTATTGTGCTTAGTAAAAAAATAGATGAATTCAGTAAGATGGCCAGAAACCCCAAGTGTCTGTAAATATTTAGCTCTTCTGGAAAATTAAATAATTAAATGTAGAGTCTGAGTGAGATCGGTTCTTGAGACCAGTTAAATGGTGAGATAGCTGCTCTGAAGTGGAGTTAGTCTGTAGGAATGTGAAAATTATGTTTTTTTTTTTCCTAAAAAGTACATCTTTCTCAAAAGGCTAAGTGTTCCTCACAAGTTACTATAGTGTTAAAAATAAAGCTGAGAGTCTGGGGAGGTATCAGTGGGTACCAGTGCTTGTCCTGCAAGCATGAGGCCCTGAGTTTGTATTTTGAGATCCTGCATAGAGCTGTGTAGAGTACCAAGCACCCGTAATCTCAGGGCTCCTATAGGAAAATGGGCAGAGGATGCAGGAGAAGCCCTGGAGGTTCATGGAGTCAGCTAGCCTAGGATATACAGCAGCGACAGTAAGAGACCCTGTCTCAAGTTGGAAGTGGAGGCCCAACACCTCAGGTTGTCCTCTGACCTCCACAGGTGCACCATGGAGCACACATGCCTGTGCACACGCACATTGTGCTCACACAAAAGATACAGTTGAAAATGCATTTTATTCCACCTGCAATTGCAGCTAGGCAGTACTGAAGAATATGGTTCTCCTTGGGGACTGAGAAATTGAAAAAGTGAAAGTATTTCAAAAATTTTAGATTGCATTTATTTAGTGTGTGTGTGTGTGTGTGTGTGTGTGTGTGTGTGTGTGTAGGCATGCAAGTGTCACAACACAACACACGTGGAATTCAAAGATGAGCTTTTGGGAGTCGATTCCTTCCACCAGGCGGGACTTGATAGCATGTACCTTTACCTGCTGAGCCATCTCACCAGGTCACTTTGTAGCCCTACCTGACTGGAACTTGCTGTTAGACCAGGGTAGCCTCCATTTCACAGAGATCCACCCACCTCTGCCTCCTGAGTGCCACCATACCTGGCACATGGAATAATTTCTTTTTAAAAAAAATATTTTGTTTATTATTTTTATTTTATGTATTTGAGTTTATTGCTTACATGTAAGTGCACCCCTGTTTTTCAGTGCCCGTGGGGGTCAGAAGAAGGCATTGGATTCCCCTGAAACTGGAGTTATGGGTGGTTGTTAGCTGCCACGAGGGTACTGGATATTGAACCCAAGTCCTTCTACAAGAGCAGCCAGTTCTTTTAACTGCACAGCCATCTCTCCAGCCCCTAGAAAAGGGATTCTATTTTTTAATTGATTTTTTTGTGTGTGTGTGTTTCATACAGAACATCTTAATCATCTTTATATTCCCTTTCCCATTGACATCCTCCCATAACCGCCCCCCCACTGGAATTCATGTCACTTGTCATTTGTGTTAAAGCCTATCATGTCAAGTTAGGGTCCCCAGGTGTTCCTCAGTGCAAATTCATCCACTGAAATCTACTCTGCCCATTTAGAATCCTTCCCTTTAAGATCAGCTTTTCCTCACCCAGCAGTAATCAGCTTCCAGTAGCTGTTCAGCTAAGATTGGGGCCTGCTGCCTAGTTCCACAATTTTGTGCTGAGTTTTTGTCTGATTGAGTTTGCATGGGTCTTGTGCATGCTGACACCACTGCTGTAGGTTCATAAGAGCAAGGTCCCAGGAACCTGTAAGACTCTTATTTCCATATGGTCTTGCACCTCCTTCCTTGGCTCTTCATCTTTCTGACCCCTCTTCCACAATGGTTCCTGAGCCCTGGGTGGGTGGAGTTTATTATAGATGTCCTGTCCTAAGGACCCCCACTCTGCAGACTCTTATTCTGTACACTTTGGCAATTTGTGACCTTTTGTGTTCTTGGCCCTCTGTTGCATGAGGTAGCTTCATTGATGAGCATTGGAGATGCAATCCTGTTCTCTGTACCCCTTATTCTAGGTGTAGAGGTTGCATTGTAGATGTGCCACTTAGGCTTGGGCAATTCACAGAGACAATCTCTGTGTATGACCGGTTGTGGAATTCTGTAATAGTCTCTCTCTGTTGCAAAAGAAACTTCTTTGATGAGTGGTGACTGAATACTTGTCTGTAAACAGTGTCAGACAGGGGAAACCTCCCTTTGATTTGTTGGCCAGGATAGTCCAAGAGACTCCCAAAATTACACAGGCTATTGCCACAGCCCTTGATTGCCTCCCAGAACTTGAAGGAAACTTGCAGAAAACAGAATTCTTAATAACAAGAGTATCAGGAGAAGTAGAAAGGGAAAAGGATGTAGGCAAAAAGAAATCTTGCTGATCCTTAAGATAGAGATGATTGCCTTCTCAGTTGAAAGAAAGATAATTATAGAAAGTAGCATCTCATGTTTGCAGGCAATTTCCTCCATGCTTTGGAAATCATTGTATGTAATTGTCTGGGCAATACAAATGTGGTTTTTTTTTTTTAAGAATAGAGGTTATTAATTTCTTGACTTGTTTTTTTAAAAAACATTTTTACTCTTTGAGACTTTCAACTCACTTCCCTATCAGCCCTTCTCCCCATGGCCCCTTTTCCTTAAGTTCACTGAGTCCTATTTGTGTTCTCCAAATACTCTTATGTGTGAATCCATCCCCTGGAACATGGTCTGCCTACTTCGGATCGCACCCTTAAAGAAAACTGACCCTCTCCAAGCATCTATCAATTGACATTAGTTCCTCAGCTAGGGATGAGTCTTTGTGCCCAACTCCCCACTTCAGTGCCGTATTTTGTCTGGCTTGAGCTTAAGCAGGTCTTGTGCATTGCTGTCAAATCTTCTGCGAATTTATATGTGCAACTGCTCTCTTGTGTCCAGAAAATGGTTTCTTTGTCATTCACTGTCTCTGGCTCTTAGAGTCTATCCATCCCAAATTCTGCAATGATCCTTAAGGAGGGGATGTGATGCAGATATCCCATTTAGGGCTAAGCATTCCCTAGCCTCTTATCCTTTGCATCTTTGCCACTTTTGGGTCTTTATGTTAATGGATCATCTACTGC